CAGGTGCGTGCGTATGAATGCCCAGAATCCCAAGAGGAGAATGGAGGGATTGTGGCATGGCCATTCCCCCTGGGGGTGAGGGGTGATGTCTCACTTTCCCTCTCTCTGTCTCTGGCAAGTGCATTTATCCTGTGCAAAACCCTAAAAAAAAGAGAGAGAAATTTCACTGAGCACTTTATATTTGTCAAGTTAGCATCAAATTGCCTGTTCATCTCTGCTTCTTGGTGGAGATCAAGAACTTTAAAGAGATGTGGAAAGAGAAAGAATCTCAAAAGGTAAATGAGGTGGTGCTGGCAAATGGCTTGGAGGTCAAGATGTTGAATTCCACATGACTGACTGAGCAGTTTGAGTTCCAGATTTGCTGACTTGAGAAACTCGCTGATTGTGTGTGTGCATGCCCAAAATCCCAAGAGGAGACTGGAGAAGGGACTAGAGCGGGACCATCCCCACTAGAGGGTGCTTTCTTGTGCTCCCTCTCTTTGTCTCTCTCTGATGATCATTCATGCCCTATAGCAAAACTAAAAAATTTTTTTAAAAAAAGTTAAATAAGTAGCTAAATGATCGAATGAATGAATGAACAAATGAATACCTCTCTGAGCTTCTCAATAGATTCATCACCTTTCATTCCTAGCTACTGGGCAATTCAAGGCAGACTCAAAGAGAATGAGAGGCCGAGCCAGGAGGACTTTTAGACACAGTACTTATCTTTCGTTTTCTTTTTTAAGAGAGATTTTTTGCTATAGGGTGTGTGTGTTCACTGGAAAGACAGAGAGAGAAAGTGAGAAATCATCCCCCAGAGGGGATGGCCAGGACACAATCCCTTCTCCTTCATTCTCCTCTTGAGATTTTTGGGCATGCACACACACACGTGCCCTGCGTGAATTTCAAGTTGCCGTGTCCAGGACTCAAACCACAGTCAGCATTGTGGGAGTCCAGCACCCCAACCACTGTACTACCTGCTGACTCCAGTACTTTTCATTCATCCAGCAAATATTAATCTGGTGCCTACTTAGTGCTAGACACTATATTTTAGACCTGTGAGATGTTCGATTTGGTAGCTACTAGCCAGAGGTGGCTATTGAGCATTTGAATTTTGGTTAGTTCAGATGAAATGTGCTCTTAGTAAAAGATACATTTCAGAGTTTAAAAACAGGAATTTGAGGCCGGCAGGTGGCATGGTGGTTAGGGTGCTGGACTTATACATGGCTGGTCACAGTTCGCAACCCAGACCTGGTAGCTTCTTTTCTCACTTTTCCTCTCTTTCTTTGTCTCTCTCTGATCAAATTAAATAATAATAATAATAAATTAAAAAACAGGAATTTTACATTTTTCATTAATAACTTTGAATATTGACTACACATTGAAATGAGAATATTTTAGATACTGAGCTAAATTATATTATTAAAATGAATGCCAGGCTAGCCAGTGGCGTGGTCGTTGAGGCAGGTTGATCCCTGGGGGTGAGGGGTGATGTCTCACTTTCCCTCTCTCTGTCTCTGGCAAGTGCATTTATCCTGTGCAAAACCCTAAAAAAAAGAGAGAGAAATTTCACTGAGCACTTTATATTTGTCAAGTTAGCATCAAATTGCCTGTTCATCTCTGCTTCTTGGTGGAGATCAAGAACTTTAAAGAGATGTGGAAAGAGAAAGAATCTCAAAAGGTAAATGAGGTGGTGCTGGCAAATGGCTTGGAGGTCAAGATGTTGAATTCCACATGACTGACTGAGCAGTTTGAGTTCCAGATTTGCTGACTTGAGAAACTCGCTGATTGTGTGTGTGCATGCCCAAAATCCCAAGAGGAGACTGGAGAAGGGACTAGAGCGGGACCATCCCCACTAGAGGGTGCTTTCTTGTGCTCCCTCTCTTTGTCTCTCTCTGATGATCATTCATGCCCTATAGCAAAACTAAAAAATTTTTTTAAAAAAAGTTAAATAAGTAGCTAAATGATCGAATGAATGAATGAACAAATGAATACCTCTCTGAGCTTCTCAATAGATTCATCACCTTTCATTCCTAGCTACTGGGCAATTCAAGGCAGACTCAAAGAGAATGAGAGGCCGAGCCAGGAGGACTTTTAGACACAGTACTTATCTTTCTTTTTCTTTTTTAAGAGAGATTTTTTGCTATAGGGTGTGTGTGTTCACTGGAAAGACAGAGAGAGAAAGTGAGAAATCATCCCCCAGAGGGGATGGCCAGGACACAATCCCTTCTCCTTCATTCTCCTCTTGAGATTTTTGGGCATGCACACACACACGTGCCCTGCGTGAATTTCAAGTTGCCGTGTCCAGGACTCAAACCACAGTCAGCATTGTGGGAGTCCAGCACCCCAACCACTGTACTACCTGCTGACTCCAGTACTTTTCATTCATCCAGCAAATATTAATCTGGTGCCTACTTAGTGCTAGACACTATATTTTAGACCTGTGAGATGTTCGATTTGGTAGCTACTAGCCAGAGGTGGCTATTGAGCATTTGAATTTTGGTTAGTTCAGATGAAATGTGCTCTTAGTAAAAGATACATTTCAGAGTTTAAAAACAGGAATTTGAGGCCGGCAGGTGGCATGGTGGTTAGGGTGCTGGACTTATACATGGCTGGTCACAGTTCGCAACCCAGACCTGGTAGCTTCTTTTCTCACTTTTCCTCTCTTTCTTTGTCTCTCTCTGATCAAATTAAATAATAATAATAATAAATTAAAAAACAGGAATTTTACATTTTTCATTAATAACTTTGAATATTGACTACACATTGAAATGAGAATATTTTAGATACTGAGCTAAATTATATTATTAAAATGAATGCCAGGCTAGCCAGTGGCGTGGTCGTTGAGGCAGCTAGATCCCACATGACTGACTACGCTGTTCAAGTCTTAGTCCCAGAAGCTTGAGAAATATGCCAAGCACAAGTGCACGTGTGTGTGTGTGTGTGTCTGTGTATGCGTGTGCATGTGCCCCAAATCCTGAAAGGAGAGAGAGAGATGGAGGAAGAAGGATTGTGGCAAGACCCTCCCATGGAGGATGATTTCTCACTTTGCCTCTCTCTCCAGCAAGCAGACTTAACTTCTAGCAAATTAAAAAAAAAAAATAGCATCTTACTTTTTAAAAACTATATTTGCATATGGTGGCTAGAAATTTAGAAATTGCACATGTGGCTCACATTTGCAGCAGACATCAAATTCCTATTACTCTAGATTCTGTGTGAGTCTCTTCCCTATTCTGAAGGAGCTCAGCAGACAGGGAAAATAAAAGCACGTGACAAAGCAAGCACAGGACACCACATGGTGGTGCAGGGACTGGGAGCCTCCCGTGCCTGTGTCTTTTCACTTCTGTCAGATCTGCACTCTTCGTGGCTCTGCTCATTTCCAGGAGTCTGACTCTATTTCGTTTCTCTGCTCGACCATGGGTGCTATATCCCCACCGCCCCCCAAATGAAGCCAACCCTCCACACAAGTCATCAGCTGGATTTACTGCCAGCTCGCCTGTGGCTCCCCTACCCGATCTGCTCTCTCTGAGGTCCAATCTCACTTTCCCATTCCTGTGTGCTTGTTCTAGCTGGTTCCTCTGCTTGGGGTGTCCTTGCTGCTCTATACTCCCTGGCAGAATTCCAAGCTTGAACTTCAATTCGAACTCCCCCAGGAAACTCCCCCACCATGTCTCTATCACTCCGCCCAACTAAATATTTCTCTTCCTCAAGTCTCTCACAACCCAGTATTTGTTTATAGTTTTACCAAACTCTTCCATCTCTTCTCTTCTTAGTTCCTAAAGGAACTTGACTTCCTAAGGACATCTAGCTTATCTGGCCTCTTCAGGGGCAGATGGTCACTGGATCAAGTAGCGGTTGGATTGACTCAAACAGGCTCTGAGTCCTCAAGTTGGAAAAAGCAGGAGTGAGAGGCCGGCTGGGGGGAAGGGTGACCCCAGAGGTACTGGAAATTAAACATCAGTTGGAGGCAGCTTAATGGTCCACCCCTCACCAAAGAAATCTCTCTGACAAGAGTCTTTGAGAGGGTCACAACCCTGGGAGATGGGTGGTAATTAAGGCCGAGTTCAGCCTGGAATGATGGGGCTGGGGGCAGCTTGGGTACATGACTCAGTAAATCCAACAAAACAATGAAAGGAGGCCAATCTTGCCATGCATTGGAGAGAGCTCTAAATGGTGAGCCCAGGGCATCTTCTCACACTTGGAGGGCTAATCTGACCTCTCTAAGATTCCCAGGCAGCAACGTTTCCAGGGATAAGTCCTGCCGCAAATGTATCCCGAATCTGTAGGTGGGAGTCCATGGGCTAAGTGATTATGGGGTGGGGGGTAGGGTGAAGAGAGGAGGGCCCTCAGGGCACTGAAATTGCATTTAGGGTTCTCACGTGTTGTAGCCACAAGCTCCCAGGTAGGAAACTACTATGGTCACGAAGGATCCAGACCCCGCTGGTCTCTCTGGGTCTGAACCTCCTGAGGGTAACACCCAGATCGTTGTCCTAAGCAACATGTCAGGGGTGGGTGACACCCCCAGGATGGGGGTAACGAGTGCGATGGGACGGAAAATGTACTCGACAGTCAAGACTGCGCCTCTGTCCCCCAGTCAGCCGGTGACCGCCACCTGGAAACACGCAAACTTGATCCTTCTCAACTGAACCAAAGATCCGAGACAAAAGCAGCGGCTCTCATTCACTCCCACATGGACCTACCCAAACCCGCAAGTTAATTCTCCAGGAGTCAGGGAGTCGGAGCTACACGAGCGTGGAGGGGCAGGGCCGAGAAGAGCCGGGGACCCACTGAGCCGGGACCAACCCGGGGTGGGCGAGTGGGCGTGCGCACACGCACGTGCCCGCGCGCGGGAGTGTTGGGGGAAGGGGGTGGTCTCCAAAAGGGGGAGGGAGAAGGCAGGGGGCGGAGAGAGGCAGGCCCTTTAAGACCCGGCAGCCGCGGCCGGGTGGAGAAAGAAGCAGAGGAGGCGGGGCC